TGCTAGGACTTCCAATACAGCTGTACTTGTCTAGTAATCAAATGCCATAAATTTCTTAATTATTGTCATCTACAAAAATTTCATGTTTCCTTTCCTGTGGCTTGAGCTCTGGCAATGTTTGATGGAGGTCGCTTTGTGACTGTTTCACAACAGGCTTTTATGCAATCTGCTGTTCCAATAATCAGTGACTAAAATAGCTGTTCCTTTGGATTTATAAACTAACACTAACATAAACAATTTAAAAGATGGCTCAAAGGGCTTCACCAGGTCATGATGAAAAGAGAAGACTTCTTGACTTTCAAGTTCCAAGGGACAATCACATCTGTAGAGATCTGAGACTTGGGGGAGAGAAAGGAAAGTCAACTTCTGATTAGGGGGAAAGTGCTGCTGTGGGAAACAACTCAGGGTGAGTGAACAGGCAACTCCCCTGGCACCCCAACAAGGATCCTGAAACTATCCTGCCATCAGTCAGAAAGGGAATCCTGATAAACTCTCCTGGTAGTGCTACTGAGGCTCAGAATGACAGTCAGATGGGCCTCTTAACCACTGACACCACCTGCACTGTGATCATGATGCTGTATGGCGTTAATTCATGGTGATATGGTCGCGTTTGCTCCTGGAAGAGACACTGAAACCCTGCCTTGAATTCCACTGTTCCCACAGCTCTCAGAGAGTGATAAATGGTTGCTCTTTCTGGAGACCATCTGCACTGGATTCAGATGTGTCTGAGGAGCCACCTGCACCAGGAATAACTTATCTGGGAAAAGGAATTAGCTGAAAGGCAGTCCCCTTCAAACACTGGCAAGATTTTTACCATCAGATGAGGAAACATCACCTCGGATGTTTCTGCCAATGGCTCATGCAAAATAAGATGTACTGGACAAAGGAATCCGGACAGGATTGCCTTTCAGAGTCTGCCTGAAAATCTCAGCTGCCAACACCAGTCAGACACAGGAAAATGAGGCAGGGCTTCAATACAGGGTCAGGGGGTGTGCCCACAGAGTGGGACCCCTTGTCCCTCAGGGGTGGCAGCAGGTCCTTGGTGTCACAGAGACCAAAGTCACCCCCAAACTGCACAAGTGAGAGGAGAAGAGCTTTCCAGGATGCAATGGCAGAAGAAGGATTTCTGTAGTGTACTCCTTTCCTCTCTGCTCTCAGGGAATAGAGCATGTGAATGTACACAGTGAGTGAATGCCAATACGGACTGTTATTTGGAAATAGGAACTACTTTTTAAGTTCTGTTTTCCTTAATTATTCATTATTTACTGCCTTAATTATGTATGAAAGAACTCAAGCACTTCTGAATTTCCTTTAGGCAATGCAGACTCTGTGGCATGCTCAGAAAGTTATATAGGGAGGTGTCTCTTCCTTCCATTAGTCATAAGAGAAACATAAATTACAATTCAGCATGTAATTCTCTGCTTCTTCACACAATGATTTAAAGTCGATGGAGTACAATCACTTTGTGCTCAGCATATTTACTGCTGCATAAAACTTTCTCTCTCCCATAAAGAAAAGGCATCCAGGCACTTCTCTGAAAAATAGTACTGTGAGACAGTTTTTTGACAAGGCTTTTTGTGAAAACATGTTTTATCTTTCAGTTGTTTACAAATTACAGTAGCAGTGATTTGGGAAAGAGCTTAATACATGCTGGTGTTCTTCCCTGAACAGGAACTTTGCTTAAGTGCATTTCTGAGCAGAATCTCGTTGTTTACTTATCTGCCCATTTATCTGCAGTTAAAGTAGGGATTATTTGCTATCTCAAATCGTTTTGAAACAAAGCCACACTTCCCTAGGCTCTCCATCTGCAACATCTACACTGCCCAGCAGCCAGCCCTACACCGTCCTTGTCTGCCCCACGTGCTGCACAGCACACAGCAGGTGCTGGGATTGCACACGCTTAAATATCTTCCTTCTTTCCTGCCCAGCCAGCACACAGGCCAAGGGGGCACTTAGTTGGGGTCTCTAGTCCAGAAAGGAAGCTTCATCTTGCTTTTCAACTTGCAGACCCAACCAGCACCTTTTTAAAGTGTTACTTTCCTTTAGTCTGCTTCTTGTCACTGTTAAAGCCGAGTAGTGCACTTAATTTTGTTGATACTTGGGAGTACATGAAGAGGCAGCTAAGATTTTAATATTAGTTGTGTTAGAACTCTGTGCATGCAGATGAGCTTTAATCACTTGGGAATCAGTTCCCTTCCCCTGTCAGCATATGCTCTCCCTCTTTGGTGCTCTCAGACCACTCTACTCTCTTATGTGACAGGAATTCCTCACTTCTGGATGTCCACAGCACTCTTCAGTGAGTTATTTATTCACCTAAGTGCTCACAGCAAGATTGTTCTCCGAAAAAAGAGAAACCTCCCTGAGGAACAAGCTAATAATTTTGCATGTTTAAAGAAGAATCTGCTAATTTCACATAAACTCTCAAAAAGAAAAGACCACCAGAGGGAAGTAAATCTGATACACTCAAAGAAAATAAAGTGCTAGGTCTTCAGTCACTGTAAATTACTGCAGCTAGCTGAATGGTCTGGATTTACAACAGCTGAAGATACTGTTCTATATTCTTCACAAACATCTGACAGTTGAAGAAAACTATTTATATGTTTACACCATTCATGCAAAGTGTACACCAAAAACATTAAAAGTTTATGTACAAAAAGATTCCATACGTAAAGGTGGTCGAACATGGGATAAATGTTGTGTGGGTATCATTAATTATAGATCTAGATCTTTCAGATTAGACATCAAAAGCAAAAAAAAAAAAAAAAATTGTTTTACACCAAATCTAGTGATACAGTCCTTGTACAAATGAATATATTTCTGATTTGCTGTCATGTGGCATGTTTAATCTTGGATCTTTGTTTTCTGTGAATGGGTGCACAAACCTGCAGCAATGAGTACTGTCCATTTCACTGTAATGCAGATTATAGGGAAAGATTGTAACAGTGAGTTTATAAGAAAATCTCTGCAATGTTCTGAAGCTTTAATTCCACAGCTTACTTTTCTGAGGTGAGATACCACAGCTTTCTCCACGCCACTTCTTATTTATGACTAAAAGTAACTCACAAAAAATGTTGATTGTTCTCTCATTAGTTTCCCTCAAAAAAAACTCCATTAGCCTTCTTCCACACTTCATACAACATTATAATTTTTTTCTTTTACCTCTAAAAATTTAGATACCATGCTTATGGTTTTGTACAACTGAACAGCCTGTAATCCTACAAAAATGCCTTTATCTTTATAACTACATTTTATAGATGACTCAGTTTCATTTATTACAATGCTTTCTCCTGCTAAGTTGTCTTTTTATATCCAAATAAACTGACAAATAATTCTTAATATCTGGTCTTATATTCTCTGAAGCCCTTTCAATAGCAATTTTAGTAATGTAAGAATTATTATAGTGAATATCAGCTCTCTACACTCCAGAATTTACTGCCAGTGTGTCACAAATTATCAGAACATTTTGCCTGTTTTGAGTAAACCGCAGTGAAAATCTATATCCTCAAAGCAGGGACAGCCAACAGCAAAATACACCATGTTTTAAAAGCCCACCAGTTAGGTACACATCCCAGGCTGTGTTCACACAGCTGTTGGCCAGTTAAAAAATAATCCACGTGTCTGGTGAGCTCCAGCTCTGCGTGCTTGGTGACTTGCATTCAGTGCCATTCAGCAAAACATCTCACAGGGGTATTTCTAACACCTTTGTCCCTTTACTGGGAAAGGAAAAGGATGTGCAGGTGATCCACAGCTTAAGTGCTTAGGGAAATTCTCAGTGCAAGGCCTACGTATCACTAAGCATCTTAAATAATGAACTCTTCAGCTACCACCATCCCCTGAACGGTGAGCAGTTTTTGTGCTTTCCCTTATCCATTTCCATGAATATTATTATTATCACCACCATTGTCATTACCATCATCATGATCACAGCAAGCTGGTAATTCTTTGTGTGCCCGAAGGCGAACAAGTCATTACTTACTCATCAACAAAACCACTCGTCCCAGAGACACAGGTAAGCAGATCTTTGCTAAGCTGATCAGTGAAAAAACCTCGAGCCTTCCTACAGTGGAACACACCCCCATCCTCCTGAACATTAGCACTTTTACTAAACAGAATCAAAGTATCACTTTTTTTTTTGCTCAAAACAGTAGTTTGGCCAGTTCAGCTCCTGCTCTGCATTAAACGCGTCAGCTACAGTTGCAATGTCACTGCACAGTGGGTGAAAAACGTTTCTGGAACAAATGTCAGCAAGGGATAATTTTGAAATAACCTTCTTGCCTTGTCTACAGTGCCAAAAGCCAGAAGAGAACACTGCTGTGTAGTCTGCATTGCTGGTAACCTGTGATGCCAATTCCTGGCACAGTAAGCACTTCTAAAGGTGGGACAAGAAGAAGTTGCAGAAATAAACAAGAACAGAGACCTCTTTTGGTTTCCCATGTTTCTCGTGAACATTCACCTTGGACATGAATTCAAACTTAAAACAGGGGGGAGAAGAAGCTCCAAACAGTAATGCAAAGTTTAAAATTCAAGGGTCAAAAGAATGTATCTATTAGGAAATGGCTCCTACAGATGTTGAAAAACCTTACAGTGAGAAATGCTGCATTAGTACCATGAGACACAGATATACCAAAGGTAGTGAGTTCACTTCCCTTTCCTTTGTGCAATTGTAATGGATAACCTCTGGTGTTTTACTCTGCAAAACTGCAACCTCCAAAGCACCAGACAGACTCCAGTTCTGACGAACCACTGACAGATACAGATAGTCTCAAGCAGCTCAAGATTGTACTTAAACAGAAAGGTTTTGTGCCCTGTGTAATGGGGTCAAGGGACAACTGCTAAAAGCATTTAATGCCCTCGTCAGCAGGGGCTGGATGTCCTCACGGCAAGCACTTAAAAACATTTAGCAACCTGCAAACCATCCTAACTGGCTGGGCCAGGCTTCCAAGAGACAAAAGGGTGCCCGTGGACGGCAGGGGCAGAGGGACGGACAAGCTGGCACTTACCATCTTGGTCTGTGGTGACGGTGATGGCCGTGAACTGCCGGGGGGAGACGCTCAGCTCCGAGACGCCGTTGGTGGCCGCGATCTCGAAGGTGTAGTTGACGTGGGCCACGAAGTCCAGCACCGTCACCGAGGAGTTGGTGAGCCCCGTGTGCCGGGGGACGAAGCGGATGCCTCCCCCGCAGACCTCGCACTGGCTGGAGTCTGACCCGCACTTCTTGCAGAGGACGCTGTAGGTGAGGTCCTTCCTCCCGCCGGTGTCGCTCGGGGGGCTCCACTCCAGCATCAGAGCTGTCTCATTGATGTTAAAAACCACGTTCCTGGGAGCAGAGGGGGGCCCTGCAGGCAAGGAGGGGAAAACCTGTTAGGCCCCTTCGGAGAAAACCAACCAACCAACCAACCAAGCAACCAAACCATCTTTAAGGCAATTATTTGCAAATAAAAGACACAAGAGTTACGCTTCTCCAATGAATTCAAAGTAAAAGAGCAAAAGTTGTCTGAACACAATCCTTGAAAATTCGGCAGGAATGATAAATGGGTGAGGTCACGAAAAGCTGAATAATCCAAGTAAAATAGAATTAAGTCAGAGATCATTTAAGGCAACGCAAAAATGACTTGGGAGTGTCAAACCTAGGCTTGATAACACAAATTTGTACTGAGTATGTCTTGATAGTGTGGTATACTGCGGTAGACCTTTAACCCTGAAATTTATATCTTTATTTTAAGTCCAGTAGTGTAGGCTTTTCTGAGACTTAGAACATTTGATGTTTTATAAGAGACAAATGAAATGATAAATAAATAATAGCTTTGGAATAACTACAAGATATAAAACTGTTTGTATTAGTTCTGCAGTGCCAGATATTTTTTCCTACCCTTCACTGCTTATCCCCAGGGTTTTCCTTGCTGCTGTTCATTAACAGAGGTAGGTGGCAACAGGCCAAGCCTATCAGGCACAAGAGGCAGTTTACAAGATTTTATTCTTTCCCACCTGGCACCCCATCAGCACCAGTACAACAGTGAAGACATCAACCTTGCAAGTTAAAGGTCTGAAACCACGAGCCAAAAAGAAGGGGAAAAAGCAATTTTTGAAGACTGTGGGGAGAAATACAAAGATAGTTGCTGCAGGCAGAGCGCAGGAAATCTCTCATCTAACAAGCAGGTGGTAAAGCTGCCTGTGTACTCTCAGATGAACCACAAGTGACCCATTTCCCATGGATCCCACAACAGTCCAGGTATGTCCAACAAGATTTAAGCTGTTTGCTGACTTACTGTGTAGGAGCACATAAAAAACATCTGGGGCTTTATATATATATATATATATAAATATATAAATAATTTAAATTCATTATTACAGGGTCTCTTTAGCAGCCTGAAAGAGTGCAAGAAACATTTGCAAATGACTTCAGCTAATTCTTGCCCAGAGTGTATTTCACTCAACAAATCGAGTGGTACAGTAAAGATGGGAGAGTCAGATGATTAAAAAATACTCTGCTTTCTAAACAAACCAAAAATATTGATCAACACTCTTTTAAATTCCAGTTCTGTAACTTATAGCATGACGATAAGACCTTGTGCCTAAAAGATGGTCAAACCTTTTCTTTAGGAAGCAAAACAAAAATATCAAAGTGCCTCCTTTATTTTTTCCTTCCTGGTCTTTGTGACCTTGTGATGTGTACACTGAAGTATTTGAAATACTTTACTAGGTAAGCACTTATAAATGCAACTTGTTAACAAAGGTTTATTATACTGATACTTCATTATCCAGTGGTGTGGAAAACAGAGGTAAAGGGACAGCCTTGAAAAGGCTGCTTAGAGTGTAAAATCCAGAAATCACTGAACTTCCCATAAAACCACTGTGAGGTTGATGGTTCTGGCTACTCTGGAAAACAGTCCTGAGATGGGAACAAGCTAAAACCAACACAGATTACTTCAGCTTCAGTTCCTATTATTTATGTTCAGAAGACAGGAATAATTATGTTTCCTCTAAAGCCATGCTGTGAGAATTAAATAATGACTGGCCTTACCAAACCCCCACTGTTAAAACCAATGAGGAGTTTTAGGAATATGGAGGATGAGCTTTAATCACTCCTACATATCTGCATAACTTTGAGTGGATCAGCAATCCCCTTGAAATAACTGGTAATACTCGAGCACTTAAAACTAAGCACGTGTGTAATTGCTTAAAGAGTTGGAGTCAAGGTTTTAAAACTAGCTTAGATTTAGTCTTACATACTATAGATACATACTTATATCTTACAGAACTATAGATATCATGACAGTGGGTTATCACAGCTCAGTGGGGGTTTTGTGTGTTATTTCATCAATTTTGGCACACCAGAACAGGAGTTAATGCGAGTCTGGGCAACAGCAGACTTTTGTCTGGCTTTCTGAATTTTCATTCCCAGTCAGATTTTTGTTGTCCTATAGGTAGATGACATCTGTAGAATCAAATACACTTTTATAAAAATATTTTTCATTTGTACTAGAGAGTGAAAGTTTTCATAGTCATGACTTGGGACTTGATCCCCAGTTGTGAGAGAAAACACATACTATTGTACATTCACATTTCAGTGGAGAGGAAAACCATCATCAATTATGTGAGAGGTGTCTGAAAGCATGTGACTGTCTGCTTGCAAACGCAGAAAGAAGCCTCAAACACTTCCCACTCAAGGCCCCTCACGCCAATTTGCATGACGATTAAATAGCTTTTTAATTGCTGTTAAATTATGCCAGTTAAACCGTGATTTCATGCAAATATTAAGCTGTAATGACATGCAGTGAATCATTTACCAAGATTTAGAACTTGGAACAAAGAGAGACAATTCATTCTAATCCTCAGGTTCGGCTAAATTATGTGTCACTGGGCTTTTATGAATGTGGCCTGATTGCTTTGTTATCATTTATAAATTATACAAAGACTGTTTGACACGTTGGAAAAAGCTGGCAGCAATAACCCTCCTGCAGACATCTGTGTGCAAAGCACTCAGGGATTTCCTTACATTGGTTTTTAAGGAAAACAAGTGTATTGGTGAAAACAAGGGAGCCTTTCCTCACAGCAGAATTCTCGACTCTGGATTTTATGCAACAGAATAAAATACAGTTCAGATGGATGAGCATTAAAAAAACATGCAGCTCTCCTGCTTAGGTGGAACTCAGCCAGAGTGTGAGCAATGTCTTGTGCTTCATTTGCAGATTATAATGTAAGGAGTATTTCTACCCTCTCTGTGGAGGAGATCCACATCAGTGTCTCAGGGAGAACCAGGCCTGCTCTGAAGGCAACAGAGCTGACTTTATTCCCTTCCTCTGCAAAGGCAAAGTGAATGTTAGCTGGGTTTGGAAGGGGAGAGGAGCAAACCCAGCACTGCAGAAATCTAGTGAGGGTAATGCACTATTTTACACACTAATGAGTGATGACTGTCTGGAAAAAACCTGTTGCTTTTTAAGTGAAAACTATCCATGATTGGGCTCAAAGAAATTCGTGTTATTTGACTACTGAATTTACAGCAGAAGAGCAAAAATTAATCATTTCCTTAGGATATACTCAGAATGAGCACCTGGCTGTGCCCCTTGAGTTCATAACTGGTTTTTGACACACATACACACATGTGGTAAAGGTAAGCAGTGTCACTTGGTGTAGAACTACATTTTTCCTTTTCCAGAATCACTGACACTGCTCCTGTGAGACCTGCAGGAACTGGAAGGCAGTGACTGCAAACCAGCACTCCAAGTCTGAGTGTAATGATGGATTGCAAACCAGTGTATAAACATATATCTATTTACGTACAACAGTAGAGGCAGCAGAGGCAAAGATTTCAGGTATGTTGCTTGATTTTGCTGCTGAAATATCGTGTTGACTCTTAAGTGCAGAGGATACAGTTTGTGGCAGAGGCTACTGAACAGAGCACAGGTTTGCTGGGTTCAAGTTGTTTAAGCATGTCATGAGAAGAGACACATTCAGACTCAGACAACGAATACAAGCCTGCCTGACCTTGAAAAGGTGGATCCATTCACCCAATTACTTTCTAGTGGGAAATGTTAGACTTTCTGTACAGAGTAATCAGACAGGGGATTAGATATGATGCTGTTTGTTGCTCTCTGTGTATGCAGAGAGATCACTGATAGAGCACTTGCATATGGCAAAGAAATACAATAAGATGAAAGAGCAGCAGCAAGAGATTGATAAGAAGTGTCAGTCAAATGAAAAGAGCCTAGGAGAAAGGGATTAACAATATATACTAATGCAATTCTCACTCCTCTTATTGAAAACAGATTTGTAGGACAGTTCTTTGCACAGTGCACGCTCTTCTTGCACAAAATGCAGCTACAGGAAGTACAAATAGGAACAGCACAATTTTGGAAAAGGAGACACTATGTATCTTCACAGAATTGATCAAAGTGGGTTTGAAGCTCATCTTGTAAAAAGTGGATGCTGGAAGCTAAACTTAACTTCAGTCTCTTAAAATAAGGTTGGGGGGAGTTGTGGGTTTTTGTTTTGTTTTTGTTGTTGTTTGATTTTTTGTAGTTTTGTGGGGTTTTTTGTGTTTTTTTTTGTTTATTTGGTTGGGGTTTTTGTTTGGTTTGGTTTTGTTGGTTTGTTTGTTTTTGTAATGCTGCTCTGAAAGGTAGTGATGGAATCCTGATGCCACGTGTCAGTAATTTTTCCAAAGAGTTGTCTTTCAGAGATGAAAAACCAATGACTTACAAACAATATGGAACTTTATCTGCATAATGTATGAGTGACCCTGTCTTTCTAAGCATGAGAGCATCAGGAATGCCTGGGATGTGCTAGTTCTGTAAGTTTTTAATGGCCTGAGCGTGAGGCACTGACTTGAGTGGGATTATTTGTAATCACCATTTTTCCTGGGGGAAGTCTGGAAAACAATGCATATTCCCTCACATATTTTATGCAAAATTCCCTTCCATATGTTATGGAAATTTGTAGAGCTGTGTCCCTTGCTCTGGACTGAGCTGAGAGCAGGTTCTGGGGAGGTGGTTGGGGTGTCTGCCTGAGCCCTAAATCCCTCAGGGAGAGTGTGGGACTCACCTTTCCCCTCTGAAAACCCTTGTCTTGGATAAGACAATTCCCTGCTTAGTGCCTTCAGTCTGAGGAATGCAATTTTAATCACCATCACCCCGTTTAGTGGCTGGGCAATGTCTTGGTCTGTGTACTGACCTCAGGTTTGCAGAATTCCTGTGACTGTACCTCAGATCCACAGCACCTGGTGTATTCCCAGCTTTCCCAGCACAGGGACATTTGGAAAGACCATCCCGAGCACAGGGAGCAGTTCAGTTCTGTCAGCTCAGTTATTTTGTCAGTGCAAACATATTAAAATTATGGCTACACACTGGTGGTTTTTGCAACAGCACTTTGTGTTTATGATTTTACCTCTCAAAACTTTTTGTACTTAAAATTCTGTTCAAATACTTCAGTTGTTTAACACGCTATTGTTCTTATACTTTTCATTTGAATCTGAGGGGACAGCAGAGCATGTCATAGCAGTTTTTCTCTTTACATGACTCCAGTTTTTTTGAAAGTTTTTGTACTAGCATATTTTCAAGCATTTAAGATACCTACTGGTAGTTAAAACACCACATGGTTATCTGCATGGCAGCGGTTACCCTCCTTGTTTTACACCTCAGAATGACAAGTAAAAAAGTCATCAAACTGTGAAACATGGCTATTTTTAAGGTTCTCTAGACTAAGCAGAAATGTGCTGTTTGAATTTTGATTAAAAAAAAAAATCTCTTTTGGTTAACTTGAATGGAATTCTTCACAAAATGCACAAACTTGTCATTTATTACAACAAAAAATGAAATAATAAATGAGGCAGCAGGAGAGGAGAATTGCAGACACTGGTACTGATCAGACTTACTGGTACATGCCATGGTTGGTGGGTCCTTCTCAGCTCTGAAATAACCTTTCTCACACTGGCAGACAGAAGTTGCTTCTACGTGAGTCAAACTGTGTGGAGGACACTTGGAACACTTCACATTCCCAGCAAAAGCTTTATAGAACCCAGGCCTGCAAGCTGCAAAAGAAGAAAATGAATTTCGTTACTAGAAGCAAGTTTTGGTCATTTGTAACATTTGCTCCACGCAGTCATAATGCTCCTTCCTGCCTTGCCAATCTATATATATATACATATATATTTTATTTTGGTATATGGACTTAAAAACTTAAAATCTGTTCTTGTTATATGATGGGGAATCATTAAAAGAGACTGCTACACAATTTACAGACAGTCCTCACTGGTGCTTGAAATTGTACCCAGGCAACTTCACTAATACCACGAAATAAAAGAGCATTATCTGTTCCATGCGGTAACAAGAGAGAGTGAGATAACTTCTTATCTGACAGAACTATTTATATGCCTTCCCATTCAAGTAACAGACACTTGGAATACTTCATATATAATTTTCCCTCACAACACCTTGAGGGGACAGGGATGACATCCCTATACAGGGACAGCACGACCTCTAATCCCTTTTTTGCTGGCCTTTAAAACAGCAACAAGTCATTCAAATAAATCTTATCGTAAACCTGCTCGGTGTGCATTCTGAAATATTGTTTTTTAAAACCATCCTCAGACTTCATCACACACGTTTAAACAGAGATTTCTCTCTCTCTCCTGCCAGCTCCCACATCTACCCCTTGCCAGCACACATTGCAGTTCCTGCCTCCTTCTTCCCAACGTGAAAACAGAAGGGAAAGAGCAACTCCAACATGTAGAGATTGTTCAGGCTCCTTTTCCTTCTGACTCCTCCAGCAGTGCAATGGAAACCATTGCTGTAAATACAAAGATCCAGATGGCTTTTTCTCATTTTAACGTATTCAAGACTATTTTCTTTACGTGGCTAGAGGAACGAGGCACAGAAAAAATTTAAAATTGTGGTGTTTTCAGTAAGTACCCCAAAATATGCATTTGATGGATGCAGTGTCAGGTCATGTTAATGGAGTTATTAAAAAGTGTTAACTCATAGACAACATATACACTGATCAGTTTTTCTTCTGATTCCAAAGGCCTCTCTTGACATAAAGGAAGTTTCCCCTGTAGCTGAGTAAGGTGAGATGACACTGCAGAAGATAGCACTTGATTGCCTCTCACAACCCAAGAGCCAATTTTTGAAATGTCATTTGAAGAGCTTAATTTTGACCCAGCAATTTCAGCAGTTCTCCCAGGGTGTTGTTCTGACTTCGCTGAATAGACATTGGGGGGGAATCCTGCCCTGCTGTCACTGGCTTAAAAAAATAAAATAAAATTAAAAAGAAGTATTTCTGGTGTTAAAGATAAGAGGGGTGGGAACAGCAGGGATCTTCCCCTCGAATGTAGACTACTGGTCTGCTACAATTGTGATTACAGCGAGTGGTAATTTTGCTCTGATTGCAAAGACAGCAGGGTTGGGGCACTGAAGGAGGCAGCACTGCAGACCCAGGCTGTGGGCACTCACCCCTCTTTGGTTTGGCTGGAAGGAAGGAAGGGAGGGAGGAGGTAAAGCAGAAATAAAGGAATGGTGATAGGCTTGCTTGCTCCCCTCCTATTTTCTCATACCCAAATCTGCCCTGGTGAATATTTAATTCTTGCCCTTAATAACTTCCCTTCAGACATGATGTGGAATACAAAGAAGTTTGTGACTAAAGAGTCTGCAGTTCCAGGCTACAGTTTCAGTCAAAGCAAAATGAGTACTCTCTAAAATCCTTATCACTCCTAAAATTCACATCTGTCCCTTCTGAAACCTTTCTTCCTTTCTGTCCCCCCAGTGACATGTCCCTTGGGATCAACAGAAACAGCATTCTTTTTCTAGGGCAATATTCTCTCTAAATTTCGAGCAGTTCACTATTACAGAATAAAACTCAAGGCTAAGACTCATTTCCAATTTCAAAAAGCAAATGTTTTATTCTGAAATGGGTTTCTCTATTGTATTTAAAGCAGTTATGGTTTTGACATGGTGAGTCTCTTCAAAGAAAGCATAAATATACTTGCAGAGAAGGTGGGAGAAACCCTTGGATTAATAAATAGATAATTTTACTTCTTCTCAAGTCAACTCAAGTACACTTATCCTTTAAACCAAGTATGTACAACAAGTTCTGTGGCAGGGGGAGGCATCAGAGAAGCTTTTCAACAGAGGATTTCAAAGCTGTTGACAACCCACTCTCCATTCAAAGCCAGAATCACACAGTCAGGATTATTGGGTACCTGCAAATAAAAACCAGCCCTTCATGAAAAAGATTCACCTTTAGAGTCCTAAAGCCACAGTAAGGATTCAGATATGGCTCTATAAAGGGATTATCAATAGGGTTACTTACACACCTGATGATTTCCATTGTTTATTCTCCTGTGGCAGTTTCAGCAACACAAAATTACTCGGTGCACAAACTGCCTGATGGGCAAATGAGAAACTCAACACCTTTTAGTTATAAAGGGGTTGCATTTTTGTATTTGAAGAGGGAAAAATAACCACCTTTCCCATATAAAATTAACAAGTTAACAGTTTGTTCCACGTGCTTTTGTGTGCAGAAAGTTTAGTTTTGCATGGGTTGATAAATCAGTATTTTCAAGGCATTTCTCATAACGTTTTCTTCACCCAGCAAACAGTTTTGCATCTGCCATTTTCACAAATCCTTTGTGCACACCTTAGTGCAAACTAAAATTTAAACTATGAAAAAAGTTTCTAATGATGACTACTCTAAAACCTCTGAAGTTTGTTTTTATCTGTGTTACCACAGAGTATTTTTTCCTCCCTTCCAGATCCCAGCCAGGCATCTTATTTCCCCTCATGTTATCTACCACAAGTGACTTTGTGAGTTGCTAATTATAGGAGCTGTATGAAATTTGACTGTTGCAAAGCCTGGGGGAAGATAATATATTGTCTTAATGGCTTAGTAATTAGCAGGGTATCTGAATGAACAATTGGAAGACACTGAAGTTTTCTCCAATGACATACAAGAGATCATGCAGAGAAGAGCTGATAATTTAATTGGCCTCATCAAAGATAACACGTCCAGAAACGTGCCTTGCTGCAGCTTTGGCAGGATTTGACTAGGAGGTTTTCAAACTCTAGAACTTTTGTGATTAATTTTCCTTATTTCAAGTTTAATATCCGGCCTTTAGCTTTGTTTGCTCATTTCCCAGGAGTTTTTGAGGTGCCCAGTCCGGTAAATAAGTTGGCTGCTACAAAATGCAGCATTTCATTGTGAAAGAAAGAGGCTGATTCCAGTTTCCAGCTGTTTCACCCCAAAACTCACTACCACAGAGGCAGCTGAAGAGGAGGGAGTCCAAAGGAAATCCAGGAGCAATTTTAGGTATGTCTGACACTGCTGGGCCGTGTGTGGGAAGGCATTTCTCATGAAAATGGATTTTTTTTATAGCTTGCTAAGGACTCATCAATCATATTAAAGCAGAGAAGACTCTGTTGTCACTTACAATGAATGGCAACCATCAGCAGCCGTGGGAGAGGTGTTTTAATCTACCTGAATTGCATAATTTGTTATGCTTTTCCACCTCATATATTCTTTTAAAATTGCTTACTGGATCTCACTAATGCGCTATGAGACTGATACCTTTCATATTTGCTGTGTTCTGACAACAGATAATCATTTCAATTTTAAAGTCCTCTCACCCCTCTGATATCTGATCAATATATGAAAAGGACAATCTAATAAGGCCTGTTGTCTTCTAGCACTGTGCAGTTGTACACACTGTATTTGTCCCCTTATTTATTGATTTTTCCTGCAGGTGCATATTCTATATTGTTACCTTCTTTTAAAAACTGTCTTGACTAAGCACTCAAAAACCCCCCATCAACCCCAAAAAACCCATCCTACATACTTCCACATACTGACTAGAATTTCAAAATATGATTCTAAATGCATAGGTGCTACTAAAAGAAAGAGGTGGGAAATGTTTCCAATACTGATACAATAGTTTGCACTTAATTCTTAGAACGAGCTGAATTGTTTTTTCCCCAAAGTAACACACTAAATAAAATTTACTACCACAACAGGTAAATGGAAGGTTAAGAATGTTCCAGCATGAACGAATACAAAATTAGCAAAATTAAAAGCAGGTGAAAAGAGGTTCATTTGATTGGAAATATCAAGAAGTGAAACTACAGATGAAAACCACATTTAAAAAAAAAAAAAAGCTATTCTCAACACAGACTACAGTGCTGTACACAGAGGGTCTACAACCTTTTAAAATTAGCCCTTAAACATGTTTTATAAACTGTACTGATGAGTCAGAAGAGTCATTTTTCTAGAAAAGGTTGCTATATTGTAAGTTACTGTGATTTTGTGTGTCTTTGGTGCACCTTCCTAAAGATGGTGCATCTCTGACAGCCAGAGATGACTGCACACTTTCATTTTGTTAGGTCCTTTCATGTATGCCAGGGAAAAACCAACCCAGGCTGAAATGCAATCAGAAGCAGCTTTTGTGTCACTTAGATAAGTCTGGGAGAAATTAGTGATTATCTTCTGGCTAGTAAAGATGTGTCGGTGATTTAACACAAGATTTAATGTGGTTAAACACAACACAGAGAATCCTCCTTGGTTTTGGCATCTGTGTCAATGAAAAGGCTGCCCAGGTAAAAAGCAGATGCTAACAGACTGGGAAGGCTCCAGTTTCTGACTGCACAGAGTTAAGCCCTGCATTCCTGCCATCATCCCAAGGGATCAGCAATGAAAACCCCACAGGTGACTTCTGCAAACGTCGGCTCAGCCTTTTCAAGCAGGGCCACCAAATTTCACTGTTTCCCTCCATGGAATAAAAACCTGAGTCCCTAAATATAAATGTACTTCCTGCACATGGCCCTAAAGACCTCTTGTTAATTGGCAGAGGGGGTAAAGGCAGAATCCAGCCCCCAGTTTCTGTTGCTGGTATCTGCTGGCAGCTTCTGGCAGGGCCACTGACGCTGGAAGGTCTCACCTGGCACACTGTCTGAAGTGGGCTCTGTGAGGTACAAAACACCAGTGACAGCAAAAACAGGCACCTCTTACTGTCCATGGGATGAAAACACACTACATTATGTTTGT